TAGAAAATCCTTTAAGTTTAAAATAGAACGAGCGTACCATTTTTTTCTTTAAAAATATTGAGACTAGTGCCCGTACGCACGCCACTCTTAAAGCTGAACATTATTTTTGTATTGAAAAATATGCACCATTATTAACTGTTACTGAATATTAAATATCACTGAAATATCTCCAGCGGTTACGAAAATATTTATTAATTAACACCCTGTATATTCGTAACGGTACATTTTTGGGGAAGTACAAAATTGACCGAAAAACATTTGAACGAAATGGAAATTTGATCGAAAATACATTTTATCGAATGGCATTTGATCGAAAATACATTTGGTCGAATGACATTTGATCGAAGATATATTTTATCGAATAACATTTTATCGAAAACACAATAGATCGAAAATTCATTAGATCGAAAAGACAATATATCGAAAATTAACATTAAAAATAGTAAAATATCAAAAAATCAAACGATTCCATTCAACCGTCCGTCTAATCCCTACTACCCAGGGAAACTAAACTAAGCGGCTATCAAATTAGGTACTAATGGAAAATTTCAAATTTTATCCTTACAATACTGGTAATTTAAAATTAATTATTTTAGAGCTAAACGGTTATTTGGATTAAACGGTCATTTGGATTAAAAAAATGTGATTAATTCGCACAAAATATGTATTTCAATAAGGTCGAGTTGTCTCCCGATGGGACATTTTAGGTAAATTATTTTAAGTTTTTTTATATAAAAAATTTAATTAATTTACCTAACCTGTGCGACCTGGAGCCGTCGCGGTTTGTCACGCAAAAAATATAGAAAAATTAGAAAAATTCAAATAAAAATATTAACTAATTTACCTAACCTGTACGGCCTAAAGCTCTCGAGGGTGGCTTCGCTAAAAAAATTTAAAAAAAAAAGAAAAAATAAAGAAAACCTAACCTATTTACTTAACCTGTACGGCTCGGAGCAATTTAACTGATTGCTCTGACACAGGTTAGGTTAGTTAGTTAAGTTTTTAAAAACCTAACTAATTTACCTAAGCTCTGTCAGAGCAATCAGTTAAATTGCCCTAGGCCGCACAGGTTAGGTAAATTAGTTAGGTTTTCTTTATTTCTATTTATTTTTATAAAACTTAACTAACTTACCTAACTTACCTAACCTGTCTTCAGAGCAATCAGTTAAATTTCTCAAGTCTGAAAACGTCGCGGTTTGCCTCGCAAAAAAATATAAAAATAAAAAACAAATTTACCTAACCTGTGCTATTCAAATTTAACTGATTGCTCTCGCACAAGTTAGGTTAGTTAGGTACGTTACTTAAGTTTATTTTATTTTTTAATTTTTTGTTTTTGCCAAGTAACCAGCGATGATTCTAGGCTACACAGGTTAGGTAAATTAGTTTAAATTATTGTTTTCATTTTTATTATTCTATAATTTTATGAATATTTGGTTTTTCGATCAATTGCTTTTTCTATCAAATCTATTTTCGATCAATTTACTTTTCCATCAATAATTGTTATTCGATAAAATGTTTTTTCGATCAAATGCATTCGATCAAATGTTTTCGATCAAATGTATTCGATCAAATGTTTTCGATCAATTTTGTGCTACCCACATTTTTGAATACTAGTTTATTTTTTTTTGCTTTGGATTGTATGACTACATAAGATTTAGTTCATTTGCCTATTTTGCCGATTTTGTCGATTTTGCTTATTTTTTACATTTACAAGTTCTACAAATACCTATTTACACATACATATATTTTATTATATATATACATTTTGTGTTCTTATTTTTTTTTGTTTTGTTTCTTTATTTTTTTTATTTTTTTTTTTTTATTTATTTACTCATTTTTTTTTTTTTTTAATTGAAGGAAAATGGAAAAGGTAGAGACAAGGACACTTTTACGCCTAACGGTCGTTCTAGGCGATTTATACATGTACAGGTAGACCAAGGTTTGTGAAGGTGATACAAGAGGTTAGACATTAAAAACCTAGTTTATAAAACAAACTATCAATAATTTATCATGTAGATTCACACCCCTAAATATTCGCATATCATTAAGGATCATCCCAATTAGTAACCAATTCCTTTAAACTACTTATGACCTGCAAACTACTCGTGTATTTAATACAAAAATAAAAACAGTAGAAACGTTGTGCCAAATATTGTTATAAGTTTAGTTAGAATTAATTGTCAGTGGTAACAAAATTCCGTCACACTTTTATAGCGTATTGTGATTATTTGTTATTATTGATATGGTGTTAGAATTGTATTTCCTTGGCAATGCCGATATAATATAGTTACTTAAGTAGCAAGTAGTTCTAGTTGTTTTTACGATTGATTTCTTGATAGATGTACCTTTTCTTAATATTTTAAACCTTTCTACTGAGAAGCTGTATTTTGCTCATCTAATCTATGAGGTTATTCCGATTCTTCAAAATATGTCAAAAATTGATTTGAAAAATTACATGGTGAAAGTAACTGGACATAGTGAAAGTTCGATATGGATTTGCAGTTGACTGTTCATAAGGCAAGAAAAATTGTTACTGGAGATTGGATTACGCCAACAGCTCTAAAGAGAAAGACGTTTCCATTTTAAAAAAAAGCTGATGCAGTGGTACGTTACATTATTGGTTCAAACGTTTCTTCTGCTGTGAAGCAACATATTCTAACTTGTCAAAGTGGAAAGGATATGTGGGATGCCCTTCATTCCATTTTTGAGCAGAAAAATGAAATAAGGGTAAACATGCAACTAGTTAGTTATTTGAAGGTACCTGATGATACCATTTCTATACACCAGTGCTTAGTACGCTGCCTGTAGAATATTTAGAATTTAAGAATGCCTGGGAAAACCCCAACTGCACAAAGAAGTCTCATTCGGTTGTCCTTACGGTTAAGACTACATAAGCAACGTCTAGATGAACTGGAGGGAAGTGGTGATCCAAAGATAGCACTTGTGACGAAGTCAGACGCAAGATGTCTCAGAATACAGATGGAGAAAGTAAGAAGAATTATCGGAGGAAGGTGCATGTTATGGCTGTGGAGAAGAAGGCCATATAAAGCAAAACTGTGTGAAATCGGATCCGTCATCTGAAAGCAGCATTTGGTACGGAGGAGTGTCTTGTTGGCTATGTACTAGATTCAGATGCTAGTTCTCACATGACTAGATCAGAAAAAGGGATGCTGAATTTTATTGATGAAGAAAGGAAGAGCATCACAGTGGCAAAAAATGTAGTCATCGGATCTGAAGGTAGAGGTAATATAACGATAGATTAAATTAGATTACAAGAAGTTGAACGTTGTCCTTGTCCACCGAGACCTTTTCAGATCTTTTGTGGGATTCCGTTTGTTTTAGAGTATATCGTCTAGCTTGGTATTTTTTATTAAACTTAGTAGCTTTGACAGTGGCTCCTGTATGTAATTGTGTGCATTTGGCTTTTCTTTGCCTAATGTTAGAAACCTCACTCTAGCCAAGCCTTGGTATTGGCACAGGACGTGGACTGATGTTTCCTCATCTTCTTCACAGAACCTGCACAATTACTTCTTCTACTGGATTGATGACACTCATGTGCCTTTTAAGGCGACAGTGTCCAGTAAGAAGACTTACTGTTATCCTAACGATTTGACGCTATTCTTCTTTCGTGAACTTGGCCGATAGTTCCTTGGTGAACTGTTTGGCCTGTCTCAGTCTTGGATAGTTGTGACACAATTCCTGAGACTTTTTTTGCGTCTATTGTTTGATGGATGCCTTGCACAATGCCTTAGCAAGTCTACAGAAGAGTTCTGACAGGTCATGTCCTTATTTGTGCCTTCTCGGGCTAATTCGTCGGCTTTTTCGTTGCCCTGAAATCCTTCATGGCCTGGCATCCAGGCTAGGGTCACCTCCTTTTGACTACTTAGCTCTACCAGGTCTTCTAGATAGTCTTTCACCAGTCGTGATTTGTTTCCTGGTGAAATAATTGCCTTTAGAGCTGCTTGGCTATCAGAGTATATTGATTTAGTATTTCTCTTGCACAGTGTTGTATGGCTACTAGTTCAGCCTGGAACACTGTTGCATATTTTTCTTGACTCCGCTAAATCGTTGTTTTTGACTTGATTCCATAGATTCCAGCACCGGCTCATGCCTTGATTTTTGAACCGTCTGTGTACCAGCAGAGTTCAGCCTGTACGGAAGGCCCCTGTTTCCAGAATTCTCGGGTTGGTATTTGAATTTTAAAATTTCTTTTAAATTTGTATGTGGTTATGGCTCTATCAGTAGGCATACCTAGAATCGTATCCCTTTTTACTTGCTGATATAGCCCTTTGTGGTCAGCACTATGTAGTTGGCTTATTGGGTTTTGTTTCTGCATTAGCCTGTGAATAGCTGACTTGGTTTCTCCTTGTATTAAGAGGTTTATTAATACGTCCATTGCTGCAGTTGGAGTAGTGCAAATGGCTCCAGTAGCAATTAGACAGGCGAGCCGCAGAATGCCAATGAGTTGGCATATTGCACTTGCCTGCACCATTTTGGTTACTCACACCACTGCGTCAAAGGAAAAAACCGGCTAACCCTATGTGTTAAAGTTTTTCAGGAGGACCATTTAAATGTTATTAACCTAATAACTTTTTAATTATGTGTAAATGATTTCTATTCTTATTAGAAGTTTTCTAGCTGTATTTTAAAATGATATTGACTTCTTAAGAAATGACGATAAAAACGGCACTTATGTAGAATAAAACTTTAATTATCCGATAACTACAATACATTGTATGGAAAAATGAGCTAATAACAGTAATCAGTATTAAAAATAAAGGGTTTTTGTATTTTTGGTGTAAGCGTGGTTAACTATTTTTACCTTCCTTATTTGTATTCATGTTTGAGACTTGAAAAGTAAGTCTGAGCTTCTTGACCACATAAGCTACTTAAATGTTGAATATCTTGGAATTTTTCCTCAGATATAGGAAGCATGTCTGGAAATAAAGAAAATAAGGAGTTATGGTATTTGATGAAAATAAAAAAATCAAACATATTATTCAGTTATCTTCATAAGCTCTGTGTGGAAAGAGAAACTCATTTTCTTCCAAACTACCTCCAGAACAGCGTATATTGCGTGGTGTTGTTACAACAGAAGAAATCCAAGATCTATTATAAAATAACTTGTGCTCAATTAATCGAGGATGCTGCCTGGTTAATCTTGCCTCCGAGTTTAAAATTTCACATTTCTTTTTATAGCTTAGAATTTCGAAAAAAGCAGCCAAATTTCTAACATGACTTTGATCCATTGATACTACTATAAAAGGTGTTGGTTTTTGTCTCTCATCAGATATTGCTTCAGCCCATTCTCGAGATACTTCAACTTTTTTTTTTGTATTAGAAGACCACATTTTTATCACATTTCAGAAAGGAATGACCTCGTAGAGGAAATATTATAACAATACTTTCCAATTGCTTTAATTCGTGCACAATGTACTGACAGTAACGGAATTTTACTTTGGGATTTAGAACGGTTGTTTTATAATGCTATATGAAACTAACAACTTCATTAAAGCCTTTCTTGGCAGCCTCTTCGCTGTAGCCGTACCAAACCGACTTTCCAGTAGCAAGTTCATGAACATTGGATGTGTAATAAGACACTTGTATTTTATATTACACGTGGTTTGTAGATATGTTTGGAATTGGAAGGTTTCGTTGATAATCCATACATAGAGCTTTCTTTGTAACGTCTTTTCTACTATCCATCTGTGCAAGGTGTTGTCGTAAGTAGAAGGTTGCGGCTCAGATGAATTTTTTTCATTATTTTAAGAGATGTAAGTTCTGTTAATAAACTGCGCCTTTCTTCTATCGTTATATCACCCTCTGCTAGTTTTTTCTGAATCAATTCGATCTGAACAAGTTGTTTGTCACATGTAGAACAGGTATTAGATCATGGATAACCAAACGCAATGTTAAAATCATTGATAAAAATTTGCCTGTACTTTTCGTAACTAACTGTAATTGCTGGAAATTTTGCTTTAAACATGTTATACATTTTCCTGAGTTCTTCAGAGAGATAAGTGTTTGATGTTTTCTTAAGCTATAGTGGTTTACCTCGTCAGTCTTGTGGTGCTTCACCTGTTTTCTTTAAAGATGACTGAATTGTTGCAACTCTTGTTTTCGTTATTCCGTGTGAATGCTTGTCTGCAGACCTCCTCTTCTGTATAATCACCTTCTTGAGCAACTCTTACCCAACTCTATTTAGAAGCAACTCTTGTTTTCAGAAATTATTATTAAGTGGGTTAGAGTGGTGGGCAATTACAATAAAAAAAATATATTATCGATTATTTAAAAGAATCGATTATTTTCAATTAATTATTCAATTAATCGAATATCTTCGATTAATCGATTCTTTTCGGGACTATTATTTTCGTTTAACCGAGATGTAGACTATTTTACATTAATCAGTTATTTACAAATAATCAATTTATTATTCAATTATTAGATTAATCGATATATCGATATTATTTAATTAAATTTTAATCTTACATTCGATTGTTATTAATTTATCGATTATTAGTAAAGATCTAATCGAATTATACATTAATGAGGTAATTAAAGAATCGTTTTACAATATCGAGTTATCAAACATATTTAGGCGGAAAATTAGTTTAACCCAGCTAAAAGTCACATTTTTTACCTTTTTGTATTACCTGCTAATTTAATTTAACTCAAAATTTTACGTCGTCAAAAAGAAAAGTTCTTTTTAGCAAAAACTTTATTAAAGAACATATCTGTTTATGCACTTTAGGGACTAAAAGTGGAGCCACAATAAATCCATCTGGGTTGCAGTGGAAGGCGATGATATCATCCCGCTCATTTTCAACATAACCTAAAAGTATAATAACTTTTAGCCTCGGGATAAAAAGTGCCACTTTAGGCCCTTGGCGTTTAATATACTATTTTAGTTAAATAGCTAGTTATGAAACCAGTTACGAAATGCCTTATTTTATGAACGAGTTACATAAAATGGTATCTCGTAACATGTTTTTCTTTTATTGACAAATCATATTCATTTATTGAGGATGTTCGGGCTAAATGGACCTCAAATTGGGATTCAGCGCGAAATACATAACCCTAGGTGGGTCTAGTAAAATTACTGACCTCTTTTTTTTTTTTGAGTGCCGGTGTTCTCGTATATTTATTTTGGTTTTAGAGAATATATTATTTATTTTTATATTTTTTTTTAGAGTTTTTGTTATGATTATTTAGGTTTTTTAGAAAAATATATTTACTCGTTCCGTATTTATTTTTAAAATATTCTATTTAGTTTTTTTTTGTTTATATGTATATTGGAATAAAAATTAGGTAAATTTTGCAGTACCTACTTAAGTAAAGTTTTAACTTTTTTAATGTGTAAAATACTTTTAAATTATGTATGGGGGCAGTTACACCTACTACTCCTCGCTAAGTATGGCCTTCGGTTCAAAACCATAAATCATTATTGAGGTATGCCCCATAGGTTTATTTTCTGGCTATACGCCACTGCAAAAACGAATATATTTTTTGCAGAAATTCATTCTTTGTTTAAAATGCCAGCGTTTTACAAAATGCCTAACTTTTTGCAAAAAGCTGAATTATTTAATACGCCTGTGACATTTATACAACAGCCGAACTTTAATTTTTGATATCATAAATGTTTCATAATGGTTATCTTTTTTTTAGAACCAGATTCGGCAACTCGATTCTTGTAGGAATCCTCAGCCGATTAATGAACTAGAAAACATCTTGAACGACCAGCTGTAGAATGGACGCCTGCACTTTGATCGTCTCATCATTGCGACAAATCAAATTAAAAATTAAGAAACGCAAAACGCTGAGATGCTCAGCAAAGCAGGAATGATTGTTTTCAATTGTTCAAAAAGAAAAATAAACGGTTATCTGTAATTATAAAATTTGTTGTTTTTTTTTTTATATTAGTTACCGCCTCTGTCTGGATTGATTAACCATCGTCAGTGGCGTAGACAATACAGTCAAGCAGCACCTCTCTTAATTTTTAAAAATAATTTATTTACAAAAAAATATATACAAATAATTATTCATTAGCTAAGAACATTTACGGAAAATTCTTTCGTCATTAATACACACAAAATGGGCGCACTATTACAAAACTGTTTTGTTTATTTGTAAATTAAATAAGGCTCGCTGAATACTTTTACCATGTAGGTAGTTTTTGAGTTTCTATTGTAAATTTAATAATTTTCACAATTTGTCACACATGTCAAATGAAATAATATATTTTTCTACACCCACATGGATATTAGCTTATCTACGCTTGGACTACAAAACGAAAAAGTATGTCATTGCGTTCAACTGAACGAATATATTTCATATCCATTCTAGGTAGTGAGAACACTGCAAAAAAATGAAATCCACCAATCACAGTTCATATTTTGAAAACCCAACTACTATTATTTTTAAAATTTTAAATAAATGACAATTCTGTCAAACTAATTTTCAGTATATTTTTTAATTATTAAGATTAAATATACATTAAAATGAGCTATTTTTGTGTAGAATTGATAAATAATCGTAAATAATAGCATTTCTATTTTTATTTGAACCATATTTAGAAAAAAAAAATTAATTAAACTATATGAAACTATTTTAATTACGAGTATTAAAACCAAAATCGTCTAAGTGGAAGTAGAGGCATGGACAGTGTGCTTAACTTCCATGCGAAAAGCCTGGGATCGATTCTCGCCTGGTGACATTTTTTTTATATTTATTTTATTTTAAAAATCAGTGAAATTCAATAATTATTTTAAAATTAGTTATTTAATAACCTAAAATATTTTTTTAATTTATAGATTTTCGTTAGTGGGTCGTAGAAAAAATATACTGTACAACTCGAGTGGATTGTCCATATCCACTCTTTTTTTTAACTTGGTGTCATCGGCATCGATTACTAAGGCCATTAGCCTCGTGTTCTACGTAGGCTTTGTTACTGTTTCCCAGCACCACTTTAAGAACAGCACTGTTAATTAGAACCCAACAATGAATGATCGAGTGGGGAATCCTACCAAGGCATCAGAATTAATTTTAAATAATTAAATTAAATAAAAAAATCCTGGTCAACGGTGGGATTCGAACTTGGACCCACAGGCAGATATCCACTCTTGTTGCACAAACTACTATTTTTAAATACCTTGTATTGGCAAATAAACCAAGTGAACTAAAATGTTTATTTTATAAGATCAGTCCCATCACAACACATAACATTACCCAGATACAAACCAGAATGAAGATATATAGATATAATGCGTGGCATTCTAAATTATACAGTTCACAGTTTAACAAACCCCCCTTGACTTCCATTTTCAATCAGATTTTTTTTCAGAATCAAAAGGCTTCATCCCCTTATTGAGCTTGATTTTTTCCAAAAATTTCAAGTTGATATTATTGTTCGTTTTTGATTTTTTAAATATTTCAAACTCCCTTAAACCCCCCCCCCGCTACATTTATTCAAAATTTTTTCACAATGAATGAGCCTTATCTTCTTAAAGCGTTTGATTTTTTACTAAAAATTTCATGTTGATTTCGCTTTTCATTTTTGACTTACTTATGATTTTTTTAATTTCAACTCCCCTTAAACCCCTTCTTTTTATTCAGATTTTTTTCAAAATCAAAGAGCTTCTTCTTCTTTTAGAGCTTGATGTTTGCTAAAAATTTCATGTTGATATCTCTTTTTGTTTTTCGTTTTTAATTTAGGATTTTTTTTTAAATTAATTTTAACCCCTATTTTTAATCAGATTTTTTCAAAATCAATAGGCTTTCTCCACTTATGGAGCTTGTTTTTTGCTTAAAATTTTTAAATTGATATCAGGCAAAAGTTCAGACATCGTAAAGAAATACAGATTAAATCTGGATTTCATTTGAATTCGTCTAGTTAGTAGTTGGTAGTTAAAATTTTGTTACTGACTTTATCATGAATCACTATACAAACGCCGATATGACAGACATGCATTACATTTATGGTCTTGATGATGAAAATTTATTAGAAGCTAAAGTCTATTCAAATTTAATTTACGCCTGATGTAAACAGAAGCAGGTGGACGCTACAATTGAGCAGGGCCGTATTTTACTTTTCCGTCTTGCAAAAATGTAAAATAAAAGAGTGTAATTGCGAAATTATTTTTTTATTACGATAAAAACATATTTTGTAAAGTAAAACTATAAAATAAATGCCATACACGGTCTCCCAGACTTTAGTGACATTTCTGGACGAAGATAGGTGAGCGACATAAACTGCGTTAATCTCCAATACAAATTAATAAATGTATTTGACTTTAAAAGAGATGGTTGCATTATATTTAGTTCATTACATATGTCTACTGTGATACAGAGCATT